GCCTAATGTCTGCAAATCCTCAAATGTACACATGTACGCAGGTGACACGGTAATCTATGCGAGCAATTCCGATCTACCGCAGCTTGAGGCTGTGCTCCAAGACCAGTTTACAAAGGTAGAAAAGTGGATCGCAGAAAACAAACTCTTTCTGAACACTGACAAAACTGTCACAATGATCTCTGGAACAGTACCTAAATTACACAAATTACACAATTCCCACCTATCCATCAAAACAAATTCAAATGGCACACTGACCGCAGTCCACTCTTTCAAATACTTGGGTATGTTGCTAGACCCCAATCTATCTTTCGGGCTGCACATAGATAAGCTTGCATCTAAACTTTATCCAAAACTAGGTGCCCTGTACAGAAACAAATCCTGCCTAAGCCCTACAGTAAAGGAAAAGATCGTACAGCAAATGCTGATGCCAATCATTGATTATTGGGATGTAGTATATGCATCTGCATCGCAATCCCACATTAATAAACTCAACACATTGTATAACTCGTTCTGCCGATTTGTGCTACAATGTAATTACAGGACTCACCATTGTGACATGCTAAAAGAACTAAACTGGCTGTCGCTGGAATCCAGACGCACCCTTCATCTTTCCAGCCTTGTGTTTAAGAGCTTTTCTGGGAAACTCTCACCCTACCTGAACAAAATGCTTTTCCCAGCTGTTCCCACTTCCTATAAGATCCAGTACCAACACTTCCCTCTGGGAAGTTCATTCATTTACTGTTACGCTTATTACCAGGTCTGTCACTCATCAGTTCTTTCTCTATTGGGAATGCATCCTAGGCTACACCAATTTGACACGGACACTTTGCCCCGTAGTTAATTAAGAATTCTTCATACCTCACCCAACTGCCAAACACCCGAAATAAAAAAAAAAATCTGCATTTTAGCTTTCTAATCCGGTCACCCTAATCCGGTATTGGCGCACGGCAATGAGTTATCACCTATAGCCTTATTCTCTATCACTAAGAGTTCATACGAGGGCTCTCAGCATCCACAAACATACCGTTCAAACTATGGTCTAATATGCTGCATTTCACCACTTTCATACAACACTATCAAACTCTACCGATCAGACATACAACAATACATTCTGACAGTCTTTTCAAACCATACCCCTTCTTCTTAAATGCTTACCCAACTAGGATATCAAGGTATAAGGAATTGGGTCATCACTCCATGAATAACATATACCCATAGATGGGAATTGCGGGAGTTAATAGACCCACTATACAGCATTTGTACAACACAAACCTGGTCATAACCTCCATGCATTTAACCTTCCAAGGATCCCTGAGTCCTAGAAACTTCACATTTACAGCTAATCAGACAAGCAAATCATGTCTCCTCAAGCAAGACTTAAGAAGATACGGACACTACCTCATGTCACGCCTACATTTAAACCAGACAATTAAGACACTTGCTCTACTAGACTATCCCCTAACTACTTCTAAATGCGGTTCTACATTCATAGTCTAGGCATTACATTAGGTTAGACCCTGCCTCTTATTTAAGACATCCGTTCAGAATAAGTACAATAAGTACCACATCCAGTAGCAGTACGCCGACACACATGAAAAAGTAGGTTCACTGGAAGTCAGCTATAATATACAGAGACATTCCGCAATGGGAGAAGAGGTAAGGCAAGTGAATCTTATATGATAATTATGTTGCTAATAAGTGTGTTTTCTTGCATTTCCTTTTTGCCCTCTTTTTACAGGCCTACCCCTACGTCGGTTTCAGCAAACCACACCGACTCAATTCCAGTCACAAGGTATTTCACGGTCACGATATTAACCGACCACAAGTTTAAGGCCGAAGGCCTGTATTTGTGGGAGGAGTTAGCGTTCCTATAAAAATGCTTCTCCCCCTTCCTACCTTTGCTGAGACGCACGCTGTTCACCCCACCCACCTCACCCTCTTTCTTATACAGTCCTTTGGGGGCCCCTCTTTTTACAGGCCTACCCCTACATTGGTTTCGGCACACCACACTGACTCAATTCCAGTCACAAGGTATTTCACGGTCACGATATTAACCGACCACAAATTAATTTAACATTCCCTCTATATCGGTCACACAGATTGCATAATGATTGTAAATAGAAGGCAGAACAACTGTCAGTGTTAGCAAGCCGTGCAAATAAAATGGTTTGATACTAAACAACACTAATTCAGTATATTTGGAATTAATCAGGAGAGAGTGTGGGCAGATTATTGGTATCAAGAATTGGTATCTATCTACTGTCCGTACTCCCACCTCTGATGCTCGCCTTCAAGATTTCTTGAGGGCTGCACCGTTCCTGTGGAACTCGCTTCCCTCCTCCGTTAGATGCTCACCCAGTCTCCACTTCTTCAAAAAACAAAAACGATATAAACCCCCTTCTTCATAAAAGCGTATCAATTAAACTGTTAATAGCTCCTGACTGATTCCTCTTCTGCAACTGTCATTAGTCTAATACTATCATGACCTTTTTGTGTCATTTTACCCCACTCCCTCTAGCATGTAAGCTCATCGAGCAGGGCCCTCAACCCCTTTGTTCCTGTGTGTCCAACTTGTCTAGTTACAACTACATGTCTGTTTGTCCACCCATTGTAAAGCGCTGCGGAATTTGATGGCGCTATATAAATATCATAATAATATTAATAATAATAATAATAAGTGGATTGAGCATGGTCATTGAATCAGTCGCTGCTTAATATATTAATACCTTAACACACAGAAGGTGGTGGTAAGGGGACATTGATCAGCCCTTCTGGTTACAGGGATATCACAGATGTTCTTGCTCTGTTTATTTTAGAGGAGGAACTCACTGGGCTCTTACTTGTTACTAGACGACTTGTATGTTCATGCTTAACCTTTTATGTTATCTTTTAACCATTATTTATATGGGAGGGGTTTGATGGCTGATAGTATAGGCTATTGTGTACAATAATACAAACAACACTATATCTGTATCTTTTTACTGCTGTCCATACATTATAATCCAGTTGATAATCCTGTTCTCTTTCCAGAATCCAGGAGTAATTTTGAACTTGCTGTCAATCAGCCTCAGGAATCCTCAGCCCCAGTAGGAGGCTCAGCCAACATTACCTGCTCATACAATACTCCCATAAACAAAACACCCATGGATGATGTGATATACTGGAGAGCTGGAAGACCTGATGGACCTATAGCATACCACGCCTCTAGATGGATGGTTCATCCCACTTACAGAGGAAGGACAAATGTGACCCGGAAAGCAGATCTACAAATAATGGGGGTAAAAGAAACAGACAGCTCTGTGTATTACTGCTTCGTCACACTCATATTGTGTAGTGGAAATCGGAATATCACAACTGTAATCAGCAATGGAAATGGAACCAAACTGAAAGTTACAGGTAATGTCAGAAAACACTCATTGCTCATTACCTACTGTCTTCTATAACTAACAGCTGGCAATTAATACTTCAACTTATCAGATCACTTGCAAAAAAGGAAGTGAAGGATAATCTGTAAATGTGCCTCCTATGATACGTACTTATCTCTTTGTTAATATCTGTGTTTTGTGAATCCTCCGAAAGCATTGATTTTAATCCAGACACTAAACGAATGAAGGCAATTGCAGATCTGACAACCAAATTCTGACCATATATGATGATTTCCATTGCATTCAGAATTTGGTGATTTTCACAAGATTTTTTCAATTTGGACAAAATCTGATATTTAGTAAGTAATCCTGTATTTGTTGGTATGGTACCAGTAAAGTGTACTAATGAATAGACTTACAGTGAAAAAAAATTGTTTCAGGCAAATTAGGTTTCATCCATGTAACATTTTGATTCCAGAAAATTTTGGTTCTGTCAAATTTGGTCTATGCGATAATTTTGGAAAAAAATATTCAGATGCAAAATAAATAAATAAATAATAATATAAATATTATGCAATATATTGATAGGAAAATAAGTTGTGCCATTTGGTTCTCAGATCAAGTGAGGAGAAGTAGCCAACAGAGGAGAAAAAGTGTAAAAATATTATATAAAATATATATTCATTAAATGTATAATACGCAATTATCGATTTTTTTTTAAGTTGACAAATACATTTTATGTGGGAAGAAGTCACAAATCTAAAGATCTCCTCTTTTTGGATACTGTAAAATTGTGCCCCTGATGTAGACATTTATGGGTCAAATCCATTATTCCATGATTTATACATTTGAATGTCATCTTGTCATGGAGAGTATTTTTCACAATGAAGAACCAGTACTGCAGTTACCATTTGAGTTTGCTCCATAACATTTTTTGATGGGCTTGCATTGGGTTTTGAACTTGTTTTGTGAGTCAAAGTCAGAGGATGAGTATAGGGCTATATAAACATTGTGAGTAAATTCCTAACTAGCAATAATTGAGCAGTGACACTTCAGGGCCTTGATACATACATGTAACGGACCGTTTTGCCCACAAGAGGTTAAAAACCGTTTAGGCGATCTTCCCCTTTCAGATGCACAGACAGCTACTGCAATCACCAATCTCCCGATCTGCAAACTACACGAATTCTCCAACTCCCGAACAGGAAACCCACGAATACTGGAAATAGCTGAACAGGAAAAACCATACGAAAGGTTTAC